CATCTAGAAGCCTTATCCCAAAACATGCATGCCCTGAAGATTGCCTGGCCAGGACTTGACACCGGGTTCTTCCTGGGCACTTGTTTTCCTGCACTGGAACCTAGGGCCTATGTTGTAGGTACATGTATGGACCCAGGTTCACGGTTCAGGGTATCGCATTGCCTCTGCGCGCAGGCTTAAGCCTAGGGGTTTGGGGTAAAGGAATGTTGGGGTGAGAGATCTGCAACCCTGCATGGACTCTCGTTGTGACCCACACACGGTACAAGAGACCCCTTCCCTGAAACCTGTAAACCCGAATCCAGTGCCCTGAGGCGAGAGCGATCACGCACATTAGGCAGATGAGTCCATTCGCCATCTGCTTGGGTTGCATCCTCGAGGGTCTTTCAGGGGCTCCAGATTGGCTCACTTCGAGGAGGGGCTTAGTCTAGTGGTAGTCTACAAGTAGGGTTCTCTTTTGGGCGACCCGGTTGGTGTCTACAGCCAACATACTAAGACACAGGATCCTGCAAGAAGAGCGCTCGTGAGTTTGAGGAGTCGATGGCCTGAAGCCTTCAGACAGATCATCCAAAGGCCTAGGGCTCAGCACAGAAGTCTGAAGAATGAGTCGCAGTCTCCGCTTGAAGTCCCCATCTGTGCTTATGCTTATACATTCAAACACATCCCACAACCGCTACTGTCGTTCGCAAGGCCCCTACATTTCGCTCACATGGCTTCTGGTAGGCAATTCAGCTCCAGCTTGCTCCAACGCAAGAAAGTGGGAGCCGGCTAGTTGAGCCCCTCCCAAGGATTCCAAGGCCATGGGTTCCTTCATAATCAGACTTGGGGGTCCTGTGACGGATATGATCAGGATTACTCTATGGGCGCAGTATGGGTGGCCTTCATAACTTTAACACGGCCTTTGGGGGTATATTCTACTATGCTTCTAAGAGGAACCCTAGAACAGGAATTGATATTTTCCCGGCTTGTACAATACTAGGCATCAAATCATGGTGTTCATGCAGGTTTGCGTAGGTTCGAAGGAACATACCTTACATCATACATACTCAGGATGCCTCTATAACTCTAAGAAAGGTATAGTGTTGCTTCATTCGTGGGTTTTGTGTTACGTAAGACCCATTTATTTCCTTCAGTTGGGGGGGCTGCAGAGATGCTTCTGATCCTACCACTCAAGGTCTGTGTTGGGTGCGTTTGCTTGTCGACTCGAAGCCTTATTTCCTTTTCACCCTAAACCCTAAACACCACACTCAAAAGCTTAAGCTAAACTCTAAACCCCAAGACTCCACAACTGCCTGACAAGGGGAAGAGGGACACACGCCCACAAGGGGGGATGGGAGGGGCATCCTGAACCATGGACCATGCGGAGCGCCTGACCATATAACCCTGGAAGAACTGTGTCGAACGACTTTCAGCGGCTGAGCCGCTCGAAAGAGCTTGGCATCAGGTGGACAAGGGCCTGGGACGTGGCAACACCTCGGCATGAAATAGGGGGGTTGGGGGAGAGCTAGGGGCCAACAGTTCAAGGCTTTAGGACTTTAGGAGCTCACGGGCATTCATCCCCTCATCGTCCCTGCATTACGATACTGCAACAACCCCCAAAATCGATTCAACAATATTTTCTGAAGCTCCCGCAGAAGGATGCTCTGGCTTTGGACTGCTTTAGATTAATAAATTTGAATTTTCTGGTATTTCAAGCTCTTACGGTTTGGTCCATAGCTCAGTTTAATTCTTTGCAGGGCATCCTATATAGTTCTATGTTTGGCAATGGTTTGAAGTAAATCTTGCTTCCGAACTCCGAACTCTTGCTTGATACTTTCGGGGGGGGCACAAAAAAAAGCTTGTATGACAAATTTTATGGCCGGTACAGGGGATTTATAGAGTCTTGTACGAGGGCTTTAAGGCAATTACCCCACTGAGAACCCCGCTTGTCACTATCAGTGAACCTTGCCTTCAAGTGTACGTCTCATCATCTAGGGACCCTACTGAAAACACTAAATACTGGAAGCCTTGTTGTGGGGACCCCGGTACTGACGTTGGACCGCCATCTAACCTTGCTACAAGTAAGACTCTTATCAAGAAAACCAATACAAACCCAAAAACACCTTCACAGGACCCTTTCAAACCTTAAACCTCTGTATGTAAGCCCGCCCCACCACGGTTGGGAGCGCGGCTTTGTTGGCACACCCACTGCACCTGTTGCCTCCGCTGCATCGTCCCGCGGTGACGAGATTGTGCGTGTGTAGGGTGTAGAGGTTTCGGATTCAGGGTTTCAGAACCGTGGTCGCCCAAGCAAAGAACCTGACTCTTCAAGCGCCATGCCCGGGTTTAGTAAGGGCTAGGGCCGAGGGATCACACACACACCCCCAAACATGAAACGACTAAGCCCCAGTACACACATACCCATAAGCCCCATAGTAGTTCCTTTTGGGATTCCCTACTAGGATTCTAAATATGAACCGCAAAAAATAACTACTATGGGGCCATATGGGTACGTCCACACAGCAGCAGCAGGTTGGAGGGAAGAAGGCTCGAGGGCGTTTCAAGGAGCTTCACGAGGGCAGTAGACCAGGTGGAAAGGGTCTCTGGTCGAGAATGGGTTCGGGCTTAGAGCAAGTGTAAAGTTCATGGTTCGGGAAAGTTGCGATTTGAGCTTCTGTCGAGTGCGCTATGTTTTCAGGATTGTTCCTTATGGTTTTACGATGTAGCAGGTCTGCACTCATACTCGCGGCCAGCCATCTGACGCTAATCGAAAGCAGCTGCTGCAAGCCCAAAACCAAAAATGCAAAGTCCCAAACACTGATATATGGTCTTCAGGACATAGAATAATAAGGACCCCAGGTCGGAGTCCTATAAAGTCCGTGAAACAGGCTGTAGAAACCATACAACACTCTATGCTATAAACGCCTGAACAAAACCTCTTTTAGAAGAACTCTTAGACACTTATGCCTTATGCAATGCAACTGAGGGATTGAGCTGCAGGCGTGAATTTTTTGCTCGTGATGATGTTCAGACCTTGCATGGCCACGGCGTCCTAACCCTAAACCCAAAGTGGTTCCGGGTTTAGGGAGCTCCTGCCACAGTTCAGAGCGTCACTTGCAGCCTGAGGTAAGGCTATAAGGAAAGAACAAGGCATCCGCATAGTTTTACTCCCTGCTTCATCACAAATGACACTGTACCCTAAAGCCCTACACACTTGCCGTAACACCCCACGCCCCAACCCTGAGTCCCACTAGGCTTTGGGGTTTCAGTTTTTCCTTAGGGCCTTCGAGGCTCATCTTGGGTCTCGTCTTACAAGATACGCATCAACTTATTTAAGAATGCCGTGGCTCGACCAGCCTGGTCTTCCCTACTCCAGTACCTCACGGACAGCAAAAAACCACAACATGACCCAAAATCCTATAGTCGCTGTTCGGAGATGTTGCTGCCAAACCTTGGGCCCTCAACGGTGATGGCTGGGCACAATAACGAAAGACAGTAGGCCATTGTGTATGCGACATGAGCTCATATTGCATCCGGTGTACGGTGTTGCTGAGTTCCCAGGATAGCAAGCTGCTGCCAGGTCGTGTGTGTTTGTGCGTGTGTTTGTGTGCGTGTGCGTGTGTTTTGTGATTCCTTGGCCATATAATCAGAAATAACATCTTCATGAAGAACAAGAAAGGTGCATGCAGACAACATGTACTCTTTTCCAACAAGGCCTTTCAGAAGCTCCTCAGACACTTCATGCACGATACGTCGTTGCGTATATGAATGGGACTTGTGGTTCGCTGCAGAGACTGGTGAAACTGTGACAATAAATTGCAGCTCTTCTTGGGCTCAGACTGCACAGCTTGCTCAAATCAGAACGTCAGGATTTCATCACCGAAAGCTATTGAGCGACTCCGTCTGGTTCTGGCCCTTGTAGACCCCCAAGATTTGTTCCCTGGTGCTCCCTGGATACTGAACATCATGGTGCCAACCATAGTCTGCCTGGGGCTGCTACTTATAATCCCAAACGTACTTATTACTTTACTCACCAAGTTCCATGATCCTGCAAGCGAGATTGTGAAAATCAAGCGCAGCTCTCTCTAGTTGGATCATTGGTTTCCTCAGGCCCATCAAAGGTACAGCATGAGGAATCCTAGCAGAACACTAATCATCCGTAAACCATGTTCCAACTTTCTGGGGT